TTTTCCACCATAGGGTTTCACACAAAACCAAAGGGGCATTGTGTGAACATACATACAATAACATTTAAATGCCTTCACTGGTAAAAAAGTGTGTGCATAAACAAAAGAACAACACCCCAGCTGAAGGCTATGAGGTCTCAACATCGTCATGCGTCTACAGCCCTGAGGGCTTCAGCTGCTTTTATCATCTCTCAGCACTTTACTACACAACGCCTACCTGTCTGTTTATTACATAACTGCCTCACTTAACCACGAGGCAAAGCCTGGAGCCGAAGATCCTTCTTTGAAGGAAGAAACTTTGTCATCCGCATGACAATCTCTGTTTCTGATGTACTGATTATATATAAATATATTTTTTTATGTATTTTTTCAATGTATAAAAAAACATGGGCAAATAAAAGGCTTTCACAACTGATCCTGAGAGCTAATTCAGTTTACTTCCCTTTGGAATAGAACAATGTAGGAAATGTCAGGTTAAGAAGCAGGAACTAAAATATATTTCCCCTTTCAGCTTCAAAAGAACTTAAATGATTATACAGCAACATAAAAGATCAACAAAAGTGAACACGGGACACGCGTTTAACAAGCAATATCATGGAAGCATGTGACTTCCCAACAGTCTGGTCATTTTTCAGACTCACTGGCAAATAAAAAATAGTTAAATGTGCTTAATGAACATCTGAGTACATGTAAATTACCTAAATATAATATGAAAAACTAAATCTAACACACAAAAAAAAAAAAAAAAAGTCACTTAACATTTTTCAAATGATCATTGTGATGCTAGAAAAATGTGTTTGCAGACTGAGGGCTGACACACATATGGAGGATCCATTACTGAACAGAAACCATCCAACTGCTCCCTGTAATGGGAGCCTCATCACTGTGATTTGTATCTCTGGATTAAATCATGTCGCTGCATGTTTATAGACACCGCCCCGTCACACTGCGGTAGATTTATTCGACGTGATTCGCATGAGAAAAAAAAGCCGGCGTGGACCAGTCACTTCTGTCTTTTGTTTGGCGCTCTATGGCAACTAAAAGCGTGTGTATTTTATGACTCAGACGACTTGATGGGGAGCAAGGATCAATGGACTTTACTGTACATGAAGGCTGACAGTCACGGGGGTTCCATCTTTATGGACCACTGTAAAACTAAAACCATCTCAGTTGCGGTTTTCAGAAAAACGGGAGATGTGTGTGTGTGTGTGGTTTGCGTGCTCAAAATTGCTTTGGTGTGGTGGCATCAAAATTTAAAAAATAAATCTGTTCTCTGAAACCTGACGTCAAATGGAATGCACATGGACAACACATCCTGAGCCCCAGCCCTGAGGGTTAATGACTTCACCCTCACAAATTAGTCACAGCTCCTGCTGCGTGTGTGTGCACGGAGTGGTAGGTGTCTGCTTTCAAATTTTTTGGGGGGTTTGGCAAAGTGAGCTAATCTGTAATGTGTCAGATTACCTGTAGGAGACCTCACAACAGAGTCTTGTTTGCTAATTTGTCGTCACATTCCACGCTGACCGGAACAGCTTCGGCATTTTAATTGTAGGGTCAGTGTGAAAGGGTTTTCTGACACGAGAAGACACTGTGAGAGTCTTGAAAGTGATAGAATATAAAAAAATGTAGTTTGGGGATGAACCAGGACCTTCCTGTGTGGAGTTTGAATGTTCTCCCTATGTCCCTCCTGGTACTCCTGCTTCTTCCCACTGTCCAAAAACAAGCATGTTAGGTTTATTGGACATTCCAAATTGCCCTTAGGGGTGATTGTGCGTGTGCGTGGTAGTTCGTCTTTGTGTGTCTAAATGTGTGGCCTTGTGATGGACCGACTAGGGTGTACCCCGCCATTTCACCTATTGACCACTGACACAGGCCCCAGTTCCCCCACACCCCCATTTTGGAATAAGTGGTTTAGAAAATGGATGGATAGATGGATGGATAGTTTAAGGATAAGACATTCTTTACGGGAACAATCAGGAGGATTGGAATGCTTCTCTGACCAATCAGAAACTTTGGCCTGATGATCCCTGTTTTAAAGTCATCAATACAAGTCATCAAAGCTCTTAGCATGCTGTAACAACACTGCCTGGGACTATAAATGTAAAACCTGTGTATCAATAAACTTGACATAACCATTATAATCTCCATTTACCAGATTTGGCTGCTATTCGCCTCATCTGGCCACTGGATAAAAATAGCTAAAGTTCTTTTACAAAGCCTGAGATTCCACAAAAAGCAGATGTGTATGCGATAAAGGCCGAGGGCTGAAGCTGATCCCCGAGAACTTGAGGGTCTCACCGACAGCCCAGATGTAAAAGCAGAAACTTTGTCACGAAAACAGCTTTTCATAAAGATACGGGCAGACGTCCAACAGAAATCCCTCAGCTTTGGCTCAAGCAAAGGTATCAACACATTTCCCCGAGTTCCCTGAACCGATTAATCAAAGACGTACAAATAGCTGGGACACCTCTGCTGATAAGAGATGCAAAACAGAAAAAATAACCACATGTGGCACCACAGTTGCACCAATTACCAGAGCTCATAGTTTTCTGCCAGCTTACATTGGAGACCAGATATAGCTCAACACTGCCACCTGGAGGAAGCAGCTAACATCTGCAGTTGACAAATCTAACAAGTCATTAAATGTGGTGTAGGTACACAAACATTCTTTGTCTTAAATATATTGAAGAAACCGCATTGCAAGGTGCTAGACTGAACAAATTTTGTATTCAACTGATGCAACACTCGTGACTAAACCTCCTTTCCACATCCACTGTAACCTCAGCTGTTCATGCCTCGGCTTCATGACTAAATCTTATGATTTATCAGCACAGACGGCAGTAAAAAGGCCTAACCTGACCAAGCCTCTGCGTGTTCGCACAGAACAGCAATGACATGTTTTTACGGCTCGTGCGTGTACAAAAGCACATGATCTAACTCATCTGCACGGTGGGGTTATGGCTTGTCAAAAAATGTGACTAAGTCCCTAGTTTGAGGCAAAGAAAAATACATAGAATTGAAAGCCAGCTTTCTCTAACCTTGAATAATCATCAAATATAGACGGAAGCATATCAGAAACAACAGCATATTCCGTTTATTAAAAAGTATTGGATCTACTGTGTTATTCCAAAGGTTGGGGATTGCTGTTGTGTGCTCTTTAACCGCAGATGGATGATTTGAAATATGGAACTAAAATGACTGGCGTTAACATGGAGTAACTAATAACTGCTTAACCCCCTGTGGCATCAATATATATTTTGGTGGGAAATAATTGCACATTCATTTAAGGGAGCTTTTGGTCATAAAATCTTCCTAAAATCTGATTCTGCAGACAACTACTCTCTAACTCAGTCCTCACTGTCAGAGGAAATGATACCAATCTTCCCAACAACCCAAAAAATGTTTTATGTTTTCATTTCCTATATCATAGCAAAAATATTATGGTGATTACCATGTGTTCCGGGACATTCATTCATGAATATTTTGTTTGAGTACACAATGTTACCTTGAAGACACCTATCATTTCAGTACATAAAAAAGTGTTTTATGAAACAATTCATTTAACTGTATAAATCTGTTATTGTGGGATGTATTGACTCGGCATGAATAGTAGATATTCAGTGCACATTATTGGTACACCAAGTACATAAAAACACTAAGGGTAGAAGAAAAAAGGTTTAATTTGAAGCACGCTGTATAGGTGTCCTATACAGCTGTACAGAGGTCCTATATATAGACTAGACTAAACACTGGTTAAGGACATATATTGTTTAAATGCCAGACAAAGCTATCTGCTGTCGGATATGTCAATTCCTTAATGAATTGCACATTTGTCCAGTTATGAGACAAGAAAGAAAGCTCCCCTGAAAGACCAAAATGAGACCACGACATAATTGAATATAACATAACATGGGAAAATTGGCTGTATATCCATTCAGTTATGTGCACCTTATGCTGAATGATGATGGAATTGTAACTTGGGAGCAAAAAGAAAAAAGAAATAAAATCTAAATAAAAGCATTAATGGATTCCTGAGGGTAGATAGAGCGCTGCCCCAGTCCAAAAAAAAAAAGAAAGTTTAAATCTAAACCTCAATTTCCAGGGTATAAATCTTCTTTTATGGCCATGAAAAGAAAGCTTTAAACAAAGGCTAAACACCCATCTGAGTTTAGCGAGAAGTGTGTCTGATGAGAACTTCTTTACTTCTGGGAGCCATGTAGGGAAGCTTTTCCCCATTTCATGGCTTTTTTCTAGACTAAACAATCATGTGAAATTTAAGCAAAAGCATTCCAATCGACAAACTGATAATTGGTAAGTAGGAGTGTGGTGCTAAATCCCTCTCACGAGTGTGTTGCTGCTATAGTTTTTAAACAGTCCCTTGGCTGAAGTGCTTAAACCCTGGCCGCAGTATCCTTACATGTCACAGCTTGAACCCGATGACCCCCCCTGACTCATTTTCCGCGTTTGGCAGCGAAACGCACCAGGATCCGGCAGGCCTCCATTAGCCTCTTAGCATCTCTCAGTGGTTACAAAACAGCTGCTTCCTGTGGCTGCAGGAAGAGTGGAAATGGCAGGGAGTGTTCCTGAGTGAACGCATTATCATATTAGAATCAAAGCGCCATGTGACCCGGCATGCACGTACAGGACCGTGCCCACGAACACACACACACACACACATGGTGTAGGCAAAGGGCTAAAACTGAAATACAGAAACTAATTCCCCGGGAATCCTCTGCAAATGCTAACAGTAGCGGAAAACAATGAGGTCATGATGAGATTACCATGATATAGTAAAGTAGTTCAAGGCTTCATCGGAAGGAGGGTAGAAAAATGAAGTTATGGAAAATGGTAAACAGAGGGATCAAACAGTAAGACTCCGGCTGTGTTTGTTCCACTGCAGATCGTGGGATTTCGAATCTTGATTTTGATTTGTTTCACACATTTCTATCTGCAGCATCGACTGAAATAAAAAACCCTATCGGAATATTGAGGATACTCACCAACAGATCTATGCTTTCGCGGCGTTCCAGAGATTCGTGGGCCACCTTCTCACTGCCTGGGGTCAAGATGTAGGGGCTCTGACTCGGAGGGGGCTTCATGTTGGGCAGGCTGAGTGACCGCAAGTCTTTCACACCCTGCTCCACCTTCAGCTCATCTCCTGGCCGGGCTATTTAAAAAAAAAAAAAAAAAGGCCAAAAAAAAAGTTAGCTTTAGGCGAACAGTAATATTGGAAACAGAGAGATATATGCTTTAAAGGTGACATAACAAAAACATTTAAATGTATGCCAATAATTGGGTTTCAGTACAAAACTACAAAAAAACCTTTTAACTGTTTTGGTTCAAACTGTCATTCAGTCAGTCATTAACATTTTAAAGGTATAATGTTCTGACACAGACCCAGTTCATTAGCATTTTCACCCAATTATCTCCAAAAAAGTATCTACTTCAGTTTCTAGCATTTGTATTTGAAGAAAAATGTATTTAGCAGTTAATTAGTTTACTAGAAAACTTACAGTTTATTAGTTTGTTTACTTTAATTTACCTTTTTTCAACACTTTACTGGAGGGGAGTGGCAACCTTTAAAACCTGTTTCTTTGAAAATAACTGTATGTTTGTGGTAGAGAAGCTGCGATATGATATTTCCATGCTATTTGAGCAACAAATATCCAGGAGGTTTCATTAAGAAATTGTGCCAACTAGTAAAAAAAGAGGAAACATGTTGCATGGAAGAGAGAAAGAACATTGATAAAAAAGATTGAATTATGCAAATGTGCTCTGAACACCTCTGCTGAATAGGAAAATGTGTCAAACTACAAGAATGCATTTGAGCTAACATTAATAGAATTATTGATTTCAGACTTCCTATCTGGTTAGCCTACTAAAAAAAAGTATTACCTTAGCTGTAGAGTTTTCAGAATTTGAAACAAATCTGGCAGAACAGCAGAGTTTTACAGCTGAACAGCTGTGCACTATTCCCCCTTGACCTCCGCGTTTCACACCGTGTAACTTCAGACTGGTCAAGAAGTTAAGTGTCAGGTTTGAGCATTTCACAAGAAAAAACATCATTCATGGCAATGAATAACTTTCCCGATATAGAGAGGGACAGCGCCTTTCTTTTCTCTCCCCAAGAGCTATGATGAGACAGATTGGTGACACATTCTTTTCCACCGCTCATCTCTGCAATATCAAACAGTAACTCCACTCCCTTTGCGTTTGAACCAGAAAACACAGCTGTGACAGAAAATCAGACTCCCTTTAAAGCAGCTGACATACTTGCAGACTTTCAGATATCAAAGTTTTGAACAATGTCTCGCTGAATTCCACCTGGTTGTAGACTTGAGGCAAATCACTCAAGACTTTTTTTTTTCTCTTTTTTTTCCAGCAATACTTATTGTCTCTAAAAATCTTAGCATGAACTGCTAATACGGTGTAAAAAAACTGGCCAATTTAGAAAGCAGAAGAAAGTGTTGCTGACTTAAATCATACCTTTGTTGGCTTCAATTTTATCTGGTCATTAAAAACTCAAAAGGCTCTATCTTCATAACTTTAAGATATAATTATATATATAGGTTTTTCACCATGTGACCAATGTGAAGTTAAACCTATATTCATTAGGAACATGTCGATAAGTGGAGTGTTCTCACCTTTAACTTTGAGGTAGTGTCCTCCAAAACGATACGCCTCGAAGTTTAGGGACAGTGGTGTGTTGGACTGATCCAGGAACAAATCCACCCGTGACAACTCAATCCCTTTTCTCTCAAAGACCGGACCCAGAACCTCTCTGATGGCACAGATGTGGGGGAAAAAAAAGAGAAGTCAATACTCATTTCACAGGGCAGGGCAGTGTAGTTTTTTAAGCCACCGCTCTGTCCCTCTTCTTACCTCAGTGTTTTCTTTTTCATCGCAGGTACGATTTCCGTGTTAATGTCCACATTCAGGTCAAACTTCAGGCTGAAGCATTCTTTGCTGGGGTCCTGCATAGAGTATAGAGTATACGCTTTTATTTTACACATGTTATATCAGCTGTTTGTACAGGTTTAGTAGATCCACAGGGGTCTCTTTCTCTCTGTACTGCCTTTCTCAGACAAAGGATGGTGACTTCAGCTTATATTATATCATGGCTGCTGTATATCAGTTAGGAATAGTCTCCTTTATTCCTTCCGGGTACAGAAATCAATCTGCAGCTGGATTAAGCTGAGCTTTTTTTTTTTTGCCTTGTACACCACAGGATACATATTTGCACGAATACTTACATCAGTGTGTCGTCTTCGTGGTTTCTTCTTCCCCAACTTCATCCCGACCATTTTACGCTCCCTGCAAAACGGTTGCGATCACACAATACCTGCGCATTAGTTCTTCGAAATACTCCGAAGCGTGACAAACTGCACGTTTAAAGTGGCCCGCTGAGACTCGGAAAATATCCTCTAGCGGGATAAAAAAAAAAGACGAAGCAGGAGGGGGTGTGCGAGCGCTAGAATGACGGAGCAGGAAGGTTACTGACCCGCGGTCAGTGCTCCCCTCATCCTCTTCCTCCATGTCCGAGGGGGGGCTGGTGCGTGGGGGGCAGGAGCGTGTGGACACGTTTCGAGCTAGGATGGAGGCTGAGAGTAAAAAAAGAAGAAGAAGAAGAAGCTTGAAGTCATTTAAGCTAAATTGCATAACTGATTAATGGCAAAACCCAGGAAAAGTGAAATAAAAAAACTGAAGAAACCCTTCTTACTGTGATATTGTGAACAATATATGGCAATATACATGATCAGATATTTGCCATATAGGTATTTGTTTTAATGTTGCTTGATTTTAAAATGTCGGTGTGAGATATCTGCTTCCATCCCAACAGGTGTGATGCAGGATTCTTCGAAAAAAGTTTAATTAAGTTGAATAATTAAACATTTTTATAAATGTTGGTCATCTTTATGCTTTAAAGTTTTCTTATACGACAACGTACAATGCATGGATTCCTTAGGAACAACATAACATACACTTAATATAATTGTTATTGTTATATGTCCAATTTCCATTTACATCACTGAAAAATCGGTTTAAAAATGTAATAAATAAACAGAGCTGTTGGGATCACCGCAAAATAATTAGTAAATTAGATGCTCACAGATTTCTGAAACACCACACACACGTATATTTGCGTGCTCAAATTAAGATGGACCATTGCATCCCTATGAACCAACCAATCAATCATCAGTAATAATATGTCTTTGATATATGCATGATCAAATTTTTTTTTTTTATATGGTAGATCAAATAAAGATGATTCCAATAAAAATTGAAAATGAATAAAATACACATCACAAGCCTTAAATAGGCACACAGTAAACTCAGTATTTATACAGTGAAGTCCTGCAATGAGGTAATGGGGGTGACATCATCCCCCAACTGGAGGGGAGCACCAAATAAAGGAGTAGTCTACCTTGAGGCTGGAGGTCAAAGCGAGGGTGTCGGTCAAAGTGCATGTCGTCTGTGCTCTCTGAGTGGCAGCGCAAGTCACATGACTCGCACAGGTGAAGTGGGCTTTTGCTATTCAGGTCTTGGCAGTTTGGGTGGTGGCAGGCCTAAAAAAACAGAGACGAACACAGAGATCAACAACCGCCACGTACACAATGCATGCATTAAAATACAGACACATATTTTTAAAAGGGCAAAGGTAAGGTAAAAGGGCACCACAGTCTCACACATAAGAGTAAATACCTCCCCGTCTGACCATTATTCCTCGAACAATTGACCACAGAGGCTGCTACGGGCATTCTCAGGGGGTTTTGGTCCCACCTTCCAACCATCTGTCCCTTTCTGTGGATTCACAGCTAATTGACTCAGAACACTTTTTTTCCCCTTGTGTACTGCTCCGGGATCAGCTTAAACTACGGCAATCCAAAACTGTATCCCAGGAAGAAAAAACAATGAACCTGACCACAGGTCAGGCAAGTGTGAATCTTCCTGGCCACAGGGGGGGTCTGCCAGCACCAGAGCTCCAGAAGGCTGCGGGATTAAGGATCCGTCTGTCTCAGCCCAGACATATCCATGCACCTCCCCCCCCATCCCCCAAATCGCCCCTAGGCCCACCTCAACGCCAGAAGACTCTCCTGTGTCGCCGCCCGCCAGAGCCCACACCCGGCTCAGGAAGCAGGGATGTATGCGGAGACACAATGGAGGCCCCGCTAATGTACTTCCTCTCATTGTTTCCCCGCGTAGTCGGGAGGAGCAAGCGTGTCCGTGCACACCCGTGCAAAACGTGCGTGCGCGGCCAAGCTTGGCAGGTTTGCTTTCAAGTCAATATTCAAAGATAAGCGCGAGATAGACACAATGTTCTCGCTACTGATTGGATTATGAGCGCCAAACAGGAAAAACAATATGATCAATAAGCTGATTTAATAAGCAAAAACATTAAAAAATTATCATTTCATTCTCCTCGGTACTCTACCGTCATATAGTGGAGATGGGGTTTGGAGTCTTTGCAAGTTAGCACTTTGTCCGTGCCTGAAGGCATCCAGGACCATCCAGTAACCATCCGATTTGTCCCTGTTGTTGGCCTGCTAAGTTACACACAGCCCACACCGACAGGCCCCTTCATTAATCCACTTCTCTCAATGTCTCGCCAGGTATAATCGCAAACCCCCGGGAACGGTTTTCCAGGGCTGGAAGAGGACAGAATGGAGGCAGGGTGGGAGGGAGGGATGAGGTTAAGTGCGGGTGAGGAGTCCCACTGAAGACTGGGGTCTCGGACAAGAAGGAAAGAATAAGAAGGTCCGTCTAGAAGCTTTTCAAAAGTACAAAGCCCCTCTTAATCTTACGGTCTAATTGGTGCCTGTGCTCTGCCAAGATTAAAAAGCCAAGCTGCACTAGCCGGGGTCCAGTGGTCTTACTCCCCTCGCAGCCTTTTTCCTGCCTGTCCTCCGCCACCACAAGCACAGACTCCTCCTTTCCTCCTATACACCCAGGGTCACTGCACCCAGGCAGAGCCCCGACAAGAGGTTTTAAATAGAAAGAGACCGAGGGACAAAAGTAAGAGAGTGAGATCTGAGGCTAAAACAACAGAAGGGGACAGCCTTGTTGGGAAACGTGACATGGAGTTAAAGGATAATTCCTGTTTACTACTTCTCAATTCTGAATAGTTTTGGCTATCATTTCTATCATTATGAAAATATAGCACATTATGAAGTAATTGCTGGTCCCTGAAGGAAGCAAACAATTAGCTCAGTTCATAGTGATTATTTCAAATAAATGATGTCCCAAAAACTGGGTAAAAAAGTTAAATTAATGCTTGATTGAAACATTACCAAAAACATTACCTATAAGGTAGTTACAATTGATGATTCTATAACAGAAGAAGATCTTATGGCCAACAAAAAAAACAAAAAAACAGCTGTTTCATATGAAGACACTCAAGTGGGAAAATGTGAAGCATAACTAAATCCTAGTTATTAAGTTGTTCGTACAAAGAGCTCAAGTGTCTCTCTTTGGACTGATGTGTTACCCTGATGTGTCTCTAAAGGAACATTGACTACTCAGAATCTCCTAAAATATTGTCTACTTGTGCTTCTCTGAAGTCTTTTTTGATGTGGCAGAGTCGAATGTCCCCTCACACAGAAGTGGAAGGTTCTCCACGAGGTGTGGAGACAAACATGGCTTGATAGGTTAGCTTTCTTCGCTATCGGGCCGAGGTGTCCGAATTCCTGCTGCAACTAAAGCAGCTGAGGGGGGAAAAAAATAGGAAAAAAAAGGATGATTCAGCCAAGAATAACGAGTACATCACTGGATGAAGAACGAAGACAGCGAGCCCAAAAGCACTGGATGGAAAAAGGTCCAAACAGAAAAAAGCCTCTGATCCCCACAGACACCTGATGATACACCTGACAGAAATCCGCTTCAGATCAAGAAATGTGGAGCAGAGATTTTTCAAATACTGAACATTCCTATCAATTGAGAGGTGGGTCAAAAAAAAAAAAAAGGACCCGACTTTGATTATTCAACCACGTCTGGTTTGGATCAGTTCTTTTTTATCCAACAACAATGAATAGAGGTGTGGAGGAGAAGCTGACAGTGGGAGATGGCGTGGAACAGCTGACTTTGGAGCTAAGCGTGCCTTGTATTCTTGCGTGAGAGGCGACATGTTGCACGCCGGTTTGTCGTCCGTGTCCCCGACATGTCTGCTTCTGATCTGCCCGGATTAAGCAGGTGGTTGAGGGGTCGCACGATTGCAAATGAACACGCTACGCGTGGACGCGCACACTAAAAAAAAAAAGAAAAGACACCTCCCACCTTCATATCCTTCCCTCACACTCACACACACACACAAGCGGGCCCTTATGCAACCCTCATCTTGGTTTAACACGTCCACCGGCGTTACGCACCCCGTTTTAACACATCCTGCAAGCATTCCAATTCACCCCCACATATCAAAACACACACACACACACACGGTAATGGAAAGAAAAGCACGCCTAGTGTGAGGTTGTGTCATCAATGATCAGCGTGGCGGTAGGTCGCTGATCTGACAAAGCCGTGTTTGTGGGACAGTGTCTTCCGAGGTGAATCAAGATTATTACCTTCCATTTAATCCTCTCTGTAGCGGCACGCAACATAGAAACTGTTCCGGAACACTGAGGCCAATGAGTCTGATCTTAGCATGGCTACTTCACACAGCTGCCCCCCCCCGAAGACAATAAACCGAGCAGTGGTTATCTGAAGTTTTGGATTTCAGCATCTTAAAAGATGATTTATGATCACGGATGGAACGTGTGGGTTCGGAACAACAGCCAGAATGTTTCCTTTGGCTACCATCTCCTCACCACCATCTCAATTTTGGCTCTTGAGGACACTTTTAAATGTGTCCGGACGGCTTGCCACATCCTCACCAGCTGGAAAAATCGGTCGACAATAAAAGCGTTGTGTTTAGAATCTCATGACGCGTTTGTGGGAAAGGTCGCCAATAGATTCAAATACAGATAAGCAGGTCTGACTGATAAAAGGGCCACACCCGCCAGGGCGCTGCTTAGAGAAGAATCTGCTCCATCACGCCTTTGTACCGATTTAAAAAAAGAAAAAAGAAAGAAAAAAAAAAAAGAAAAACAAGACTTCGCTCCCATTTGTCTGGAACCTGAATGCATCCCCCAAGCTAAGTCGGCCCTCCCCCGGAACAGCCTGTCCCGCCAGAGCACACCTATCATTTATATAACTCCACAAATCAATGTGCACGTTTGCACGATGATAAAAGAAAGCAAGCAAGCTGCAGGCTATGGTTCTTACAAAATGCATCTTCTGAGAGATGGGGAAAAAACAACAAACTTGTGTTTTTCCTTCCTTTCTTCGGAAGACAAAACACGAGGAATAACTAGAGGCACGGAGCAGAGGTATTATTTCATTCCATTACTTTGATCGAGCATTAGGGTTAATGACTTTAATTCATACCATCGGTCCCATTAACAGTCCGCTGTTTTGCAGCAAGCAGCTGGTAACTTCCCATTTTTGTTTTTTTTAAAGCTTTTTAAAGCTTTTTTTTTTTTTAAAGGAGGCAGCATGGAAAGATAAAAACACCAGGGACTAAAACTAAATACACATAATGTCTGTACATCAATTTTAGTCCTTAGAAAAGAGCTGAATGGAAGCCATTATGAAGGATGTAAACATAAACAGACACACTGAACAAAAAAAAAATAGTTTTTAACATTTCTATTTGATTTATTTACCTTCCATGAAGACAATGTTTGGTAGATCCATCTTATTCTTCAAAACAGCCTCAACCCTCATGTCACATCTCATATATTTTAAGAGTTCAACAGGATATGTTCTCCAGGCTTCTTGAAGGACATCCCAAATCCCCTTTTTGGATGTTGAATGCATTTGTTCTATTCTCTGTCAAGATGATCCCAAACTGAATTAATAATTATGAGGTCTGGGCTCTTGTAGAATTCATCCTGATTTTTTATGTTATTTCTTGTGTCATTTGGAAAAGCTCAGCCTCTTCTCCCATTTCCATTCCTTTAATAATTGCCTCTTTACAACCACCCTTTTATGTACACCATTGGAAATTAGTCAAAGAAACATAGATGGATTAACTGAAGGACCAGGTGTATCTCTCATATTTAAGGACATCCTTTTCAGATGGTAGTTATATTTTTCTCTTTTTTTTGTTTTTCAGCTTGAAATTCCTCCTTTTTCTGCATATTTACAACTGTACTGCACATTTAAAAATGTACAGTGACACTGTGTTACGTGTGAAAAATATACTGAATGAAAATAAAGCTATAAATTAAGTAACTGTATCATAAATGCTAAAGCAGTATTGGTACATTATCAAGGCAAAGGATCCATGCCTACAAAACTGAGGTATACACTTCATTTGAGCTGTCCTTGAACATTCTATTTTAACTCTTTCAAATGGAGTCTGTCTCTTTAAAGACTAATTGTTTGGTTTGGCAAACATCTGCCCTCAGCATCCACCACAATTAAAGAGCAGCACAAGCATTTTTAGCTGGTAGAAGCGACTATAACTGAAGATGAGATGGTTCAAACTAAGCTTTGAACTTTCTGAAAACATCAACTCGGACAAATATGT